TTATCCATACTTACAGCCCTGCAACACATTGAGTCTCCTCGATGTCCTGAAGGAAATGTGAATACACTGAGATTTATCCCAACCCAGCAAAAAGCACTCAAACTCATCAAAGAGTTCTAGCATTTACTTTTTTACTTATTGTACAAACCTTAATCTATAAGGGCAATATTTAGTCATGTAATCCTTAAAATCCCCCAAATCCCCAAAAGCTCACTGTCAGTTTGTGCAATTGTGACCTCTTCTTAAAAACTTCCTGGACACATTGCAACAGAGGATTAGCTAATCTCTGATAATCGTGGATTTACTGCAAGACAAGCCATGTCTACGTATCTCTCTGTACCTAAAGAAAAAGTAAAAAATACTGATATGCAGTAGCTATATAAAAGAATGGCAGCTGATATATCTCAAGGACAAGAGAAGTGAAAGAATGGGTCGTAAACTTAGTAGGTGCCCTGATACAGAGCTCCAATACAGGGACACTTAACGCCAGGTTGCAATACTGTAAGAAATGTACTAAACATACTAAATAATTAAATGGAAAATTATGTCAAATGTTCATTTGGATAAATGCATTGGCAAAATACATACAGGTGCATCTCAATAAATTAGAATGTCGTGGAAAAGTTAATTTATTTAAGTAATTCAACTCAAATTGTGAAACTTGTGTATTAAATAAATTCAATGCACACAGACTGAAGTAGTTTAAGTCTTTGGTTCTTTTAATTGTGATGATTTTGGCTCACATTTAACAAAAACCCACCAATTCACTATCTCAACAAATTAGAATATGGTGACATGCCAATCAGCTAATCAACTCAAAACACCTGCAAAGGTTTCCTGAGCCTTCAAAATGGCCTCTCAGTTTGGTTCACTAGGCTACACAAGCATGGGGAAGACTGCTGATCTGACAGCTGTCCAGAAGACAATCATTGACACCCTTCACAAGGAGCCACAAACATTCATTGCCAAAGAAACTGGCTGTTCACAGAGTGCTGTATCCAAGCATGTTAAATGAAAGTTGAGTGGAAGGAAAAAGTGTGAAAGAAAAAGATGCACAACCAACCGAGAGAACCGCAGCCTTATGAGGATTGTCAAGCAAAATCGATTCAAGAATTTGAGTGAACTTCACAAGGAATGGACTGAGGCTGGGGTCAAGGCATCAAGAGCCACCACACACAGACGTGTCAAGGAATTTGGCTACAGTTGTCGTATTCCTCTTGTTAAGCCACTCCTGAACCACAGACAACGTCAGAGGCGTCTTACCTGGGCTAAGGAGAAGAACTGGACTGTTGCCCAGTGGTCCAAAGTCCTCTTTTCAGATGAGAGCAAGTTTTGTATTTCATTTGGAAACCAAGGTCCTAGAGTCTGGAGGAAGGGTGGAGAAGCTCATATCCCAAGTTGCTTGAAGTCCAGTGTTAAGTTTCCACAGTCTGTGATGATTTGGGGTTTTTTGAAAACCAACGTCACTGCACCCGTTTACCAAGAACGTTTGGAGCACTTTATGCTTCCTTCTGCTGACCAGCTTTTTGAAGATGCTGGAACCCACAACCTTTGGGTTATGAGTCCGACTCTCTAACCATTAGGCCACGACTTCCCAAATGAGAAACAAGAGACTAAAAAATGCAGATGAGCTGAAGGCCGCTGTCAAAGAAACCTGGGCTTCCATACCACCTCAGCAGTGCCACAAACTGATCACCTCCATGCCACGTCGAATTGAGGCAATAATTAAAGCAAAAGGAGCCCCTACCAAGTATTGAGTACACGTACAGTAAATGAACATACTTTCCAGAAGGCCAACAATTCACAAAAAAAAAATGTTTTATTGGTCTTATGAAGTATTCAAATTTGTTGAGATAGTGAATTGGTGGGTTTTTGTTAAATGTGAGCCAAAATCATCACAATTAAAAGAACCAAAGACTTAAACTACTTCAGTCTGTGTGCATTGAATTTATTTAATACACGAGTTTCACAATTTGAGTTGAATTACTGAAATAAATTAACTTTTCCATGACATTCTAATTTATTGAGATGCACCTGTACTTATTACTTAAGGACAGTTTTTTGCTCACACTACAACTTTAAAGAGATATTTGATCCAAAAATGAAAATGCTGTCATTAATTACTCACCCTCATGTCTTTCCAAACCCGTAAGACCTTTGTTCATCTTCGGAACACAAATTAAGATATTTTGGATGAAATCAGAGAGCTTTTTTTTTTTGACCCTGCAAGGACAGCAACACAACTGACTCGTTCGAGGCCTAGAAAAGTAATAAGTACATATATAGTATGAAAATCTTGACAGATATAATAAAGAAATATTAATAATAATCATTATAATCCCAGTCACATCCAGCCCTAAGGTGTGCTTCATGCTTTTGTTTTGTTTGTGAATTGCATAAATTCAATTTAAGTATCTTTACAATTACTATACCATAAGGGAGACAGACATGTGACTCATTTCCCTGTTTCCTAATTGTTGAGTAAAGTTCAACTTGCTAAATACTGAATGTTACATTTTTCAAACATGTCACTGTGTTACTTCTGATTGGCCAGCTGCATGTTGTTAATGTATATATGAAGCATATTTACCTGCTGTATTGATGTCACACCTGAAACAGTCTCTTATACATTTGGCATAACGGTAAGAATTAAAAATAGAAAGAACAAACTGCATTTACATTTAGATTTGGTCATTTAGCAGACATTTTGATTATCCAGTGTGATTTACACATGAGGAATCTTTTCTCTTTTAGATCAGATCATCTCTTCTTGAGAACCATGAAATCTTTCCTCATTGTTGCCTGTGTCTTTGGACTCTGCTGTGCCGTGCTAGTGAGTATCATTCTCTATTCTACTGTTAACCACCACAAATTGTAAATGTTCACTGTTTTGTAACTTATTCTATAAAAAATTGTTTCTTTTCAGGCACGGGATGAAGAACTTCGAGAGAAGCGCTCATCAAGCCGTTCCTCTGAGGTCTGTTTGAAATCCAACATTTTTGTCATTGCATAAAATACTTTTAATCAATTTCTCTTAAAATCTTAAATGCAAAAATTATCCTGAGCAATGCAAAAGCATTTATGCATTGAATGCACTTTAATTATGTTGATATATGCCTGCCTTCATTTTGAAAATCCGTTTTACGTGGACTCTTTTTTTTTTTATGGAAATTACTTTGTTCTTCTACTGATTACTACAGAGATACAGACCTGGAGGCTACAGACCGTACCCATTTCAGCGTCCCTATCCCTACCCATACTTTCACCCTTACCAGTCTCAGCCTCCAAACACCAACGCCCTCCTCAACCTCTTGCCATTCATCTTAGCACAGCTGGCATCCACCACCCCTGCTCTGGCACCGGCACCGGCCCCCGCACCTGCCCCTGCACCAGCCCCAGCCCCGGCCCCTGCACCAGCCCCAGCTCCTGCTCCTGCCCCCGGTGGGAGATAAGACAGCAGTTCAAACTGAACATGTGTCTGATTAACTTGATACTCTTGTTCTTGATATCTTAAAACATAAATAAACTTTGCATTACTGAATCATACATTTGTGTTTGTCTTATGCTTTCTGATTAAAAGGAAAGTGCACATAAAGTGTGATTGTTATGACTCATACATGAGAGCAACCAAAAGTATCAAAAATTATGTTACATCAATACATCAGGAGATGAAGACAAGCAGCAGAGTCACTGAATCATTCATTCAACCGCTAATTTACTCATGAACGAAACGAGTGTCTTCATGAGTGTTTATTATGTCCCTTGTGCTGTGGAGGAGGATTTGTAATAATTCATTTCATAACTACAAACATGAATACATTTATTTATTCAAATAAATTATCTATGTTATATTTCACCTGGAACAGCATTATTAACTTTTGAAAAGATCCAAACAGCACAACTGGAAATCAGATATGTTTGGCCATTAACTGTTAATTCTCCATGAAAGCCTGGCAGGTAGACATGCCACTTCTCTCTCCAGTATGGTTGGAGGAATTGTTGAGTAGAATACATGAAATGATGTGAGGAGTTTGTATTTGACGATGTTAACAAGATGACTGACGGCCTGGTTTAAGCAAAAATAATAATAATTTACCAAATCTAAAAATGTCCCAAAACATGCATGCACCTCTGCGTAACTGTGTACTTTTTAATTCAGAAAAAGTACATTCATTTTAATGATTAAAAAAATAAAACATTCTGCCCTGTCAAGTTCTCAAAAACAACCTAAGCTGAGCCATGTTAACTCACTCTGGCGAGAGTGATAAACCAACTCTTTAAAAATTTTAAATGTTTAGGCAACATCATTGCTTTTAAAAAAAAAACAGTAAGTACAAGAAATGTACAAGCTTCCATTACAATTCAAAAACGTCTCTAAACAAGCAACCGTTTCGAAGTTACTGTAGTGACAAGCATTCCTTTGTATAGGCTAACAGTTCAATAAAGAGGAAATTAAGAACTTACATTTTAGACACAATACTGCCAGTCACATTGTCTGTTTTTGCTCAATAAAAATAGCTCTAAACAAAGTCACAGAGGACCCATTGTTATGCAGTAGTGTTGTTTTGTTCTTGAATGATTCAGTGCTTTTGAACGAATCTGATTTGTGAATGATTCAATGATTTACTTATAACTTATTTCATTCCTGAACAAAAGTCAATACCTTGTCGCCATCTACTGACGTGTGTAACTGCAGAAAGAGTCCCTGAAAAATACACACCACACACTGATTAGTCTGTCAGAGACTCAAAGTCCTGCTAGCTGGAACGCTGCTCAAAACAGATTAAAGGACTATTATCTGTTGGATCATTTTACATTTTTTGGCTGCTATATCTTAATAAAAACACTAAAAAAATCTAATAATTTACATTTTCCTATACATTTAAAAGAATATCACAAACACAAATGTATGATTCAATGATGCAAAGTTTATTTGTTTTAATATGCCAAGAACAAGAGTAGCAAGTCAATCAGACACATGCTCAGTTTTAACTGGTGTCTTATCTCCCACCAGGGGCAGGAGCAGGAGCTGGGGCAGGTGCAGGGGCTGGTGCAGGAGCGGGGGCCGGTGCCGGAGCAGGGGTGTTGGATGCCAGCTGTGCTAAGATGAATGGCAAGAGGCTGAGGAGAGCATTGTTGTTTGGTGGCCGAGGCTGAGGCTGAGGCAGAGGCTGTGGCAGAGGCTGGGGCTGGTAAGGGGGAAAGTATGGGTAGGGATAGGGACGCTGGAATTGGTATGGGTTGAAGAAGCCTCCAGGCTGTCTCTGTAGAAATATTAGTAGAAAAACATGTAAGATTTCTATTGATGTCTATATAAAACAGATTTCAAAATGAAGACAAACATGTACAACATGTTCAGAATGTAGCCTCAAAAATGATAAATGCGTTGATTCGAGGATTTTATACAATGGCAAAAATTTAAGAGAATTTGCAGAGTTTGCAGAGTTTTTGATTTCAAACTGACCTCTGAGGAACGGCTTGATGAGCGCTTCTCTCGAAGCTCTTCATCCTCTGCCTAAAAAGGAAAATTAATTTGTCATTTTGCATCTTCATCACCATCATCACTTCATTTCCATTGTTATAAATTATGTTACAGAACAATGTGGTGGTAAAAATGAGTAGAACATCACATGCAATTAAATGGGAATAATACTCACTAGCACAGCACAGCAGAATCCAAAGACACAGGCAACAATGAGGAAAGATTTCATGGTTCTCAAGAGCGGCTCTGATCTAATAGAGAAAATGTGTAAATCGCATTGGAGAAAAATGTCTGCTAAATTACCAAATATAAATGTAAATGCTGTTAATTTTGTCTACCTTTGCTTCTTACCTTTATGCCAAAAGTATGACACTTGTCTGTGTGACATCAAAACAGCAGTTATATATGCTTAATATATACATTATTGACATGCAACTGGCCAATCAGCAGAAGTGACACGGTGACACAATTGAAAAAAATGTAAAACGTAATATTTAGCAAGTCAGACTTTACTCAGTAATTGGGAAATTGGGAAATGAGTCACATGGTTTCCTTTTTATGATATAATAATTGTACACATACTTAAACTGAGTTTATGCAACACATGAACAAAACAAAAGATTAAGGCACACCTTAGGGCTGGATGTGACTGGGATTCTTGGATAATATATAATAGCCTTCCTCATATCTGTGTCATTCTAGATATCTTCAAAAATATATAAAATGTCAAAAGTAATTGGAATATTTCTACAAAAAAAATCAGTGGAGAAAATCTTTACAATGATTGAACTGACATATCATGATTGTGACAAATATAAGTATGATTATGTTATTTAAAAAGCTTGAGACGTGAAATATGGGGAAAATATTTTTAGCATGAAAGATGACGCTGTTGATACCAGTTCTTAAAAACCATAAATATCTGTGCTGATTATTTCTCTAACAGATACACATTTATAGTTAAATACTGTATATATTATTTTAGTTATATATTTTTTTGTTCTTAAGTTAAATATTATATATTTTAAAATAGTGTTGTGTATTGAGTTATGGTTTGAGCACAGGTGGTTTTAGGGGTCGTGAGTGTAGTAATCATAATATTAAAATAATACTAAAATATAGAGAAAATATGAGGTCTGGCATGTGAAATGTATTAGTCATGTTTTTATTCATAAATTAAAACTTCTAACATCCAAAATACTGAATCACACACACAGGCAGTAAAATTGATACAAGCAAAATTGTTTTAATGGTAACAAACTGTTGAAATACACTGAGAACAACAACAACAAATTAATCAATTGACAATTTTTATCTCCAGTATAAATTGCACTTGTGTAGTAATTATTCTAATGTTCCAGGCTGTTACACTAATATCACTGGCTATTAGAGCTCTTCTAAGCATTATGACACTCTCATGTAAACAGAAATTTTTAATTTTTCTCAACAAAGGAGCAGGTCTTAACGTGCTGTGATAGGTGCGAGGGTTGGCGCCGGGTTTGGGGCAGTGGATGGGGCAGCGGGGGGAGTTGGCACCGGGGCAGGGGCTGGATTTGGGATAGTTCTAAAGGCCATCAGCAGCTGAAGAAGCTGATCATAGTTGAGAATCGAGAAAGGCTGACTCAGATTGGGGAAAAAAGCTCCAGTCTGACAAGAGACATTATGACAGATACACAAGCAATTAAAACATTATCTTGAATTTTACATTTTTAACTTTGAGGTACATTTTTTTTGACTAACCTCATCAGAATTCGAGCTGGATAATGAGCGAGCCACACGCTGGTGAACTTCAGCCTAATTGCAATTAAAAACAATCATTGTTATCACTGTCACATTATTTACATGCAACTTAAACTGTAAAATGCAAAAGTATAGCTTTTGAAACTTACCTGGAAAGCCAGACCAAGAAGACATGCAAATAAGATTACTGTCTTCATGTTTCTGTTAAAGAGTATAATTCTCCAAAGCAGCAGAAATGATAGGAAGAATATTTATTGCTCTGATGCCTGGAAATATAATAATAATTTGAACAACCTGAGGATTTAAATACAGCAATAGATATCACACCCCTCTGTTATGTTGATGCCTTAAATTGTTAAATTGCTGACTGTTGTTGCTAAATGTACGGGTTGAATCCTAAAACATTAGGTGGGCTTAAGACAACAAATTAGTTTAGCAATCAGTACAATCCTCCTACACAAGACACTCCTCTGTGGCTTTCTTTAATCTATCCGACTGATATTGCAATAGAGAAAGAATTATAAGAAATTCCATACATTACTGACACCTCTTTGAAGCAAGAATTTTGTAATGTTATGAAATGCTTGAATGGACTACAACATACCCTTATATTTCGACCACCTTAAATGACTTCAGCTTTATATTAGTATTTTTAGTAACAATTTCTCTAACAATTGATTAGTCCTCGTTCAAAACAAATGATCCACAACAACAGTGACAATTGCTCAACGTCTGGCTTTTATAAAGAGAGAAGCACGACCAACGTGACACGGCTAGAAACAGGCACAAACTTTGAGAAGTCAAAGTCTTTGATTCTGGTGCCACATCAGCTGCTATTTAACTTAAGTTTAAGGCTAAAAATTTGATATATTTATTATTCTACAGAAGCAATGTGGTTTCTAGTGGCATTATCATGTGTTATGGTGGCGGCTCAAGTGAGTAGCAACATTCTGAGAGATATTTTGGGTATTCTGGTTATCAGTGTATATTAGTATCATGGAGGAGTTTCACACTGTTTTACATGTTATTCTTGTCACGGCAGGTGTCAGAACCTTTTAATGCATTAATGCTTTTTTATTAGCCCAATGACAGAAATCGCTGGGATCAAGTTAGCCCAGTAAATGGAGAACAATATTTCTCAGGTCCAGAAGATGGAGGAGTAAAAGTACCTCAGTCAACTCCAATCAGGCCCAGATGGGAGCAGAATTTTGGACGTCCAGTTTTTGTGCGTTTTTCCACTTTATTCATAACTTAAAAATTATTTAAGGTAGTTTTACTTCCAAAAGTCAACTGACACTCACTACAGCCAGATCCAGTGGGCCCGTTGTATCCAGATGGACCTGAGCGACACGCACAAGATCCATCTAACGGCTCTCCATTTGGACAAGATCCAGTGTTCCCTGGTCAAAGTGGAGGAAACTGGGTGAGCAACATTTTCAATTCTTTTTGCAAAGTTTGCAATCATTATGCAGTACAATAAACATTAGATTTATCTTCTGCTGTACACAGCGGAGCGAACAATGGCATAGATGGGGAGGAACCAAAGAAACACAGAGGACTGGGAGAGCTGGTAGACCATCTTACAAAGTAAGTTAGACTGCACATTTAATGCCTCGAGACTTAAGTTTCTTTAGAGTCTTTAAGACGTGGGGGAAAAAGTGCCATTGCCATCATCCTGGGACAAACAGGATTACATATTTAATGTGGAAAAATTTAATATTTGCTGAAATATGAAAATTAGTTATAAATGTTGTTAAATCCCTTCAGCTGGATAGGATGCCGACACACCCAACCCAAGCTCCAGTAGATGGGGGTAAAGAGAATCAAATGAATCCACTCTTTGGAAAACCTTTGAGTCCCAACATGATGGTAAGCTCATACTGCTAATATTAACATGCACTTTTCACAAATTCATTCATGGAATAAACAGGGTTTTATGTTGCGTTGCTATTGATTGTGTATATATTTATGAGTTCACTTTGATACATTTTCTAGGATGACAGGCAGTTCATTCCAATCTTCAAGGTAAGATATTGATGATTCAACTAAAGACATTAAATGTCATGAACTGAATGCATATGAAGTCTGTAATCTGTGTTTAATATTTTTATTCACTTGGATCAACATAGGCTGACAATGTCACTTTGCAGGTGAGTGAAATTTGCGGTGCTGTTGTTTTGTACCCAGAAACAGTAGTAATCTTTAATATTTTGAGATGAGTAAATATACCGAAAAGCGAAAATAAATAAACAAATAAATATGTTCTCCCTTTAACAGAATATTAGTGCTTTCCATCTAAAGGAGGTAATGCCACTATATTGGGGAAATTGACATTAATTAACCTAACATACTGTATTTCAAGATAGAAAAATACAATAAAACAGAAGATAAAATCAAAATAATTTTTGCTTTTGTTTCAGGGAGAGAATGTGTTCCTCGTACCAAACGTAAGTGAATGAAACAGTCTAAGATAATACTTTGCCATTCATTTTCCATTTGCAATAGCTTACAATATGTCTTTTTTATTTCATACTTTGTTTAATTTGAAGGACTGAACACATAATGAGAGTTATAATTTAAACAGACACAAAGTAATAAGAAAGTAAACGTTAAAGGTTTATGATATACACCGAAAATACCTTCTTTCCATCCAGGGCAAAAGGCAGATGCAGCCACCAAAAAAGGTAATGAAGTTTAATTCAAATTTGCATAAATCTCTTATAGATATAATAATATTTCATATTGAAAAAATGTATACTATTTGTGACTTATTTACAGGGTGGAGTGAATAGACCTCAGGAACTGGGGGTAAAGTTGTTGTTGTTTTTTATTATAAAACTTGTTTTATTATTGTGAAATAGGTTCCATGTGATTTCTTTGTTGTGTAATTAATGAATGAATTTTTTTATCACGTTTAGTATGGTCAGGGTTTCTCCCTCTACGGCCCTCAGGTAACAGGCCACATTCATCATGCTTAATAAAATATATCAAATAAATAGAAAGATAACATATATAAAAGGATAACGTACAGTATATTAAAGAAAGATAACATTAAAAGTACATTTAAATTCAGTTTACCAAATCTGTAAATACACTTTCCATATCTAACAGCCTTATGTGAAGCTCATCTACAACCCAACTGCAACGGTAAGTCACATCGTCTTCCTCTGGAGTCTATGACCTTGCATATCTGGGCACTAAATATAGTTTTTTAAACAACACAACAGTCTATTGTATATTTGTTCCCCACAGCAAAAAATCTCATTTGAATATGGCATTACACAGCTTGTAAGTAATCAGGAATATGTACTAATATCACATCAGTTACATTATAGACATCTGCCAGTACCTAAAATCATTTTTCATCTAATTGCACTCTCTTTCTTGTTTCAATGTTTTGTTTTTGTTTGTTTGTTTGTTTGTTTGTTTTTTATCTTTTGAATGTCCCGCTTGTCTTTGCAGCTCCCTGCATTCATGAAGGTCAGTATTTTGGTTCCCAAGTTAAGAGTGACTGGTTTTGATGTATTTGAGTATACATTTTAGATTATTATATTTAGGCCTGTTTATTTATTTATTTATTCAACATTGCTTTGGACTCTGATTCTCCAGGCGGAGTCTGAAAGTGATCGTGGGACAAACTAGAAAAGAACCTTGTGCAATAATCACACTGGTAAGGCATATTGCTGTACCTAGTTTGATTTAAAAACTTTATTTTGGCTTTGAATAACCTCTTTTTCTTTTTCCACAGGTGAACATCCAGCTATTATATAATTCAGCAATATAATTTAAATGTGTCATATAGATTTTTTTTGTTATTTTATTGCTAATTAATGTATATTTATGGATGTTCACTCTTAATTTGCTGATTCTTTTTTCTTTAATCATTACTGTTGAGAATCTGTTCAATAAAATCTCCAGCATCAACATTGTGACTTTGAGCATTTTGTCACTGAAGTGTATTCTTGTATTCTTAATAGTTAATACATATGAGCACAGTTCCTAATCAAGTTTCAGGAGGAGTACAAAGGAGTATTTTCAACATGAAAAAAAAAATCACTTTAGACAAAATAAATAGAGCATCTTTTATTTATTTGGTAACATATGGATATGTCCAAGTTGAACAAAAATGTCTCTTGTGAGGGGTCTCCACAGTGGGATATCTGGAAAACCAACAACAAATTTACAGTCTGATCAATTAATTGGTATGATATCCTATTAGAATATACAATTTTAGAAAACTTTTAATACCTTTCTAATAAAGAAATCTTCTGAGACTATGGCTCAAACAATGGGAACCCAGGATGCCCCTGTCAGAGACAGGATTGGTTAACAAACTGTCTACAAATTCTACAGTAATTATTCAGCCCAGTCATGTTTTGTCATGTTTGGTTATTAACAGCATGTTAACAAAAGATAACTTCTGAAAAAACCTCTCCAGTTCCAGGACCGGGCCGATCACCACGGTAATCAGTTTTATATATTATTAAATATAATATTAAATACATGTAATATTTTTGAGATATGTCAGATAAAAATGCAGGTTTGTTGTTTTCTTCATGGAGATAATATGCTTTTCATTTAATGATTTTTCTTTGTAAAAATCACATTTTTGCCTGTGTGAAAAGGCTTTACAATACCTGGATTGGTTGTATTGGTTGCACTGGCTGCATTGGTTGCATGGTGTCCTGGGCTTGAACACTTGGGCCAGCGTTCTGGTTTGGTGTCAGTCTTACAGGAGTGTTCCTCGGAGGATATAGATTAGTCAGGAAGAATGGAAAGCCCTAAAAACAAAATATGACCTTTTATATATTTGAATATAATATAATATTTGATATAATATAAATATTTGAGAATAATTCAAAAAACTTGTGGATAAGGACCAAAAAATAAATATAAAAATCCATGAGTGCATGATGTTCCCTTTGAAGTCTGTCTGTACCGGGGGAAGGTTCTGTGCTGGTAAGCCGTTGTTGGGAATGATGCCAGGTATAGGCTGCTCCTGCTGCAACGGGGGCAGTTGTGCTGGGTTCAGCTGGTTTATTTGAGGAGGCAGGAAGGGTCCCTGCATCGCAGGGTTAAAGTTGAGCACCTGTGGGGGCTGCTGCTGGATCAGGAAGGGAGGGAAAAATGCAGTTCCCTGAGGAGAAAAAAAGCAGAGATTCAAATGAGTCCCTTATAATATAAGCACCATACTATAGGCTACCAACAGAACACCATATTAAGATACCAAGTAATTCCTTGTTTCAGGTTCAGAAATTATATATCTCTGTCATATGTTATTCCTGATTTTACCTTTAAATGTGCAAGTTATCTACATACTAGTTTGTTTTTGTTTTTCAGTGACTATTACCTGTGCTGGACCCAAACCCACACCTGCCAGAGTGAGTCCATTGAAACGCAAAACCTACAAAGAATGAACAAGTAACAGTTGTGAGCATGACAGAAAACAACTGAATATATATCAGAAAACAAAAATGTTATACCAAAACTGTAATACATATACATACAAATACCATATATTTTTTGACAGTGAAGACATTTATGCAAAAGATTTCTATTTCAAATACATGCTGTTATTTTGAACTTTCTATTAATTAATGAATCTCGAAATAACAGCAAATCAGCATTTTAGAAGGATTTATGAAGGGTCATATAACACTGAAAACTGGAGTATTGATGTTGAAAATGCAGCTTTTAAAATATTGTAGAGAACCATTATTTTAATTTGTAATAATATTTTGCAATATTACTGCTTCTCCTGTGTTTTTGATCATTTAAATGCAGTCTTGGTGAGCAAAAGAAAATAAATCTTATTGACCCCAAACTTGCTAGAATTTAATATTTAATAATTAATATCATTTGTGACAAAACTTCATAAGAAACATACCTCATTACTGTTACTTGCAATTATTCCAATTTGTGGCTGGTAGATCTGTGAAACACAAACTTAGTTTTGTTACTATTGATTCAAACTGAAAACATGAATTTATCAATGAAGACTTACAGGAGCACAAGTGCAAATGCTGAGAAGACCAGCCATGGAAAAGACGGCCTGAAACTTCATCTTGGTAATCTGTGGAAGAAAAATCAATGAGAATGAACATATACTAAAAACAGAAAGATACCGTCCTTATAATTAAATTATTTTAATAAAAGACTCCTTACTGATACTGCCTATATATACTACTAATACTACAGTCAATAAATGCAGAATATTAGAGAAAATAAAAGTACATTCAAGGCAGAGCAGATGTGCAAACTATAAGCGTATTTTCCCCTTATAGCTTTTAAACTGGTGCATGCCCTCTTATAACATCAGGTTGCTGTAGATGTGACACATACGGTGTGTCATGTGTCTTAATTTGTCTATACCGCATCATATATAGACATGTATCATTATGGTCAAATGAGCTGCTAATTGTTTTCATTAATTTATTGTCTGGGTTCGAGTATGTATATGTACAGTATGAGTGTTTGATGAGACGAAGACTATCATTATGATATTATGCAAAGTCCCTAAAAACATTTAATGCTTAAAAATAGAACAGATGCACCAGTGCCAAGATCAGGATTGAGCTTTGTCACAGACTAATAAGCAGGCTGAATGGAGAGATGTTTGCTCTGTGAGGTAAAGAGACAAATTATTGTCTGACTGAGAATGAAAAAACCAGATTGAATCATTCTCTTCAAAACAGTAATTATGGCAATTAGTGTGGTCATCTCCGCTCAGTAATTACATGGTTTAGGGGCTGAGTATCCCAGACAGAAGAATCAAATGGTTTGTGTCTCCTCGGCTGTAGTGTAATTTTCTCATTTCTAAACTGTTCAGGAACCTTAAGAGTCCAGTAGATGGCATTATAATACAATCAGCCAATCAGTGTTGCCAGATTGAATGGACGATTTCCAGCCAAAAAGCTCACAAAAACCCGCCCAAAACTTTAACTGTCAAAATAATGTTATGGGATAAATCAAGGTTGATAAGGGCCATTTTACCTCCTTGAACACATTGCAACCATGCTTGGACGGCCCACATAAACGAGCAAAAATGCTTTACGTGTCTTGAAATAATAATTTCTTCACATTAAACACTGACTGTCAGTCTTCATTCACCTGTTTCTCGTCGTTTATCATTCAAATGTATTAAAGTAAATCATGTGAATTGCATCGCTAATGTCATAGAAAAGCACGGCAGGGCACATGTAACACAGTGTTACAACCCCATCTGCGCAACTGGAATTTAAAACTGGTTACTGTCAGCGATGCATTAAAACATCATTTAAACTGATAAATAACAGATTGGAGATTAAAATAATAGCAGATTTGTCTCATTTTAAATGAGTAATAAAAACTGAGATGGAAAATTTACTTAAGCCATAATTTTACTATGGTAAAATAAATGTTCAGCGGTATCTTCAAAAGACTTTTGAGAGGGAAAAATGCAGTTCCCTGAGGAGAAAAAAAGCAGAGATTCAAATGAGTCCCTTATAATATAAGCACCATACTATAGGCTACCAACAGAACACCATATTAAGATACCAAGTAATTCCTTGTTTCAGGTTCAGAAATTATATATCTCTGTCATATGTTATTCCTGATTTTACCTTTAAATGTGCAAGTTATCTACATACTAGTTTGTTTTTGTTTTTCAGTGACTATTACCTGTGCTGGACCCAAACCCACACCTGCCAGAGTGAGTCCATTGAAACGCAAAACCTACAAAGAATGAACAAGTAACAGTTGTGAGCATGACAGAAAACAACTGAATATATATCAGAAAACAAAAATGTTATACCAAAACTGTAATACATATACATACAAATACCATATATTTTTTGACAGTGAAGACATTTATGCAAAAGATTTCTATTTCAAATACATGCTGTTATTTTGAACTTTCTATTAATTAATGAATCTCGAAATAACAGCAAATCAGCATTTTAGAAGGATTTATGAAGGGTCATATAACACTGAAAACTGGAGTATTGATGTTGAAAATGCAGCTTTTAAAATATTGTAGAGAACCATTATTTTAATTTGTAATAATATTTTGCAATATTACTGCTTCTCCTGTGTTTTTGATCATTTAAATGCAGTCTTGGTGAGCAAAAGAAAATAAATCTTATTGACCCCAAACTTGCTAGAATTTAATATTTAATAATTAATATCATTTGTGACAAAACTTCATAAGAAACATACCTCATTACTGTTACTTGCAATTATTCCAATTTGTGGCTGGTAGATCTGTGAAACACAAACTTAGTTTTGTTACTATTGATTCAAACTGAAAACATGAATTTATCAATGAAGACTTACAGGAGCACAAGTGCAAATGCTGAGAAGACCAGCCATGGAAAAGACGGCCTGAAACTTCATCTTGGTAATCTGTGGAAGAAAAATCAATGAGAATGAACATATACTAAAAACAGAAAGATACCGTCCTTATAATTAAATTATTTTAATAAAAGACTCCTTACTGATACTGCCTATATATACTACTAATACTACAGTCAATAAATGCAGAATATTAGAGAAAATAAAAGTACATTCAAGGCAGAGCAGATGTGCAAACTATAAGCGTATTTTCCCCTTATAGCTTTTAAACTGGTGCATGCCCTCTTATAACATCAGGTTGCTGTAGATGTGACACATACGGTGTGTCATGTGTCTTAATTTGTCTATACCGCATCATATGTATCATTGTATCATTATGGTCAAATGAGCTGCTAATTGTTTTCATTAATTTATTGTCTGGGTTCGAGTATGTATATGGAGTGTTTGAGTGTTTGATGAGACGAAGACTATCATTATGATATTATGCAAAGTCCCTAAAAACATTTAATGCTTAAAAATAGAACAGATGCACCAGTGCCAAGATCAGGATTGAGCTTTGTCACAGACTAATAAGCAGGCTGAATGGAGAGATGTTTGCTCTGTGAGGTAAAGAGACAAATTATTGTCTGACTGAGAATGAAAAAACCAGATTGAATCATTCTCTTCAAAACAGTAATTATGGCAATTAGTGTGGTCATCTCCGCTCAGTAATTACATGGTTTAGGGGCTGAGTATCCCAGACAGAAGAATCAAATGGTTTGTGTCTCCTCGGCTGTAGTGTAATTTTCTCATTTCTAAACTGTTCAGGAACCTTAAGAGTCCAGTAGATGGCATTATAATACAATCAGCCAATCAGTGTTGCCAGATTGAATGGACGATTTCCAGCCAAAAAGCTCACAAAAACCCGCCCAAAACTTTAACTGTCAAAATAATGTTATGGGATAAATCAAGGTTGATAAGGGCCATTTTACCTCCTTGAACACATTGCAACCATGCTTGGACGGCCCACATAAACGAGCAAAAATGCTTTACGTGTCTTGAAATAATAATTTCTTCACATTAAACACTGACTGTCAGTCTTCATTCACCTGTTTCTCGTCGTTTATCATTCAAATGTATTAAAGTAAATCATGTGAATTGCATCGCTAATGTCATAGAAAAGCACGGCAGGGCACATGTAACACAGTGTTACAACCCCATCTGCGCAACTGGAATTTAAAACTGGTTACTGTCAGCGATGCATTAAAACATCATTTAAACTGATAAATAACAGATTGGAGATTAAAATAATAGCAGATTTGTCTCATTTTAAATGAGTAATAAAAACTGAGATGGAAAATTTACTTAAGCCATAATTTTACTATGGTAAAATAAATGTTCAGCGGTATCTTCAAAAGACTTTTGAATTTTAGCGCACTTTTTTCTCTATATAATGTTGATATAGTAACTAGTAAATGCTGTAAATTTTGTTATGCTAGAGCAGATGTGCAAACTATAAGCGTATTTTCCCCTTATAGCTTTTAAACTGGTGCATGCCCTCTTATAACATCAGGTTGCTGTAGATGTGACACATACGGTGTGTCATGTGTCTTAATTTGTCTATACCGCATCATATATAGACATGTATCATTATGGTCAAATGAGCTGCTAATTGTTTTCATTAATTTATTGTCTGGGTTCGAGTATGTATATGTACAGTATGAGTGTTTGATGAGACGAAGACTATCATTATGATATTATGCAAAGTCCCTAAAAACATTTAATGCTTAAAAATAGAACAGATGCACCAGTGCCAAGATCAGGATTGAGCTTTGTCACAGACTAATAAGCAGGCTGAATGGAGAGATGTTTGCTCTGTGAGGTAAAGAGACAAATTATTGTCTGACTGAGAATGAAAAAACCAGATTGAATCATTCTCTTCAAAACAGTAATTATGGCAATTAGTGTGGTCATCTCCGCTCAGTAATTACATGGTTTAGGGGCTGAGTATCCCAGACAGAAGAATCAAATGGTTTGTGTCTCCTCGGCTGTAGTGTAATTTTCTCATTTCTAAACTGTTCAGGAACCTTAAGAGTCCAGTAGATGGCATTATAATACAATCAGCCAATCAGTGTTGCCAGATTGAATGGACGATTTCCAGCCAAAAAGCTCACAAAAACCCGCCCAAAACTTTAACTGTCAAAATAATGTTATGGGATAAATCAAGGTTGATAAGGGCCATTTTACCTCCTTGAACACATTGCAACCATGCTTGGACGGCCCACATAAACGAGCAAAAATGCTTTACGTGTCTTGAAATAATAATTTCTTCACATTAAACACTGACTGTCAGTCTTCATTCACCTGTTTCTCGTCGTTTATCATTCAAATGTATTAAAGTAAATCATGTGAATTGCATCGCTAATGTCATAGAAAAGCACGGCAGGGCACATGTAACACAGTGTTACAACCCCATCTGCGCAACTGGAATTTAAAACTGGTTACTGTCAGCGATGCATTAAAACATCATTTAAACTGATAAATAACAGATTGGAGATTAAAATAATAGCAGATTTGTCTCATTTTAAATGAGTAATAAAAACTGAGATGGAAAATTTACTTAAGCCATAATTTTACTATGGTAAAATAAATGTTCAGCGGTATCTTCAAAAGACTTTTGAATTTTAGCGCACTTTTTTCTCTATATAATGTTGATATAGTAACTAGTAAATGCTGTAAATTTTGTTATGCTAGCATGTGTGGAAATATTCAAACCACGTGTGTTACAACTAACCCCACATTACTTTGTAACCCCGCGCTCCCCTATTAGCAGCAGACACTGTCAAAACGGCAATCATGAAATTAACCGATACCCTCGAAACAACACATGCATGATTTTCTATGTCAGCAGTCAGAATAATCCAGTTTAAATGCAAAAAGTGCCCAATATAAGTGATAGGAAAAAGCAACGTAACTAGCAGGTAGGCTATTTCACACTCGTTCATGCGCACACCATGACAGTCAACTCAAAGCTGTGTCATTCATTGATACTTAATTACAATCCGACAATTAAAAAAGTAACAACAACAATAATGCGCTTACCTTCGTGTTCCTCTATAATTTTACACAGAACTAGAGGAAGCCTCTTTGTTAAGTTCATATTGTAGATCATAATACAGAACTTTGCACAGTTAAAACTAATCAAGTCTAGCAGTTTTCAAGGATTTGTCAATCTGGACGTTTAAAAGATAAAAGACATGATCGTATAAACCGAGATATTTAGTTTCGGTTATGATTCATTCAAATGTGCTCTGATTTCGGAGTTGCAGAGCCTTCGTGTCATCTCACTCCACAATAATTCACGTTTGAGAGTTGAGTCTGTGTGTTGTAACTTTGTGATGACTGATTGGATGCAGTATACATACTCGGGCTTGTTTTGTTAAACAATTAGCCTATGCAATTTATATGTTTGAAAACTGACCCCAAGCCAGTCCAAATTTTGTCCACCCGCCCAAGCCAATTTTTACCCTCACAATCAAATTAAAAACCGCCCAAACCCGCCCAATCTGGCATATATTTAAAAACATATCTAAAAAAAACTGTTTAATGTCTTCTTCAGACTATGCTTTTTATTTTTAACAAATAGTCACCAGCTCTATAGGCTTGGTTAAAGACCCAACATGTCTGATTGTGTAACCCAATTTTGTAGTCTTTATCATACAATCCGACAATTAAAAAAGTAACAACAACAATAATGCGCTTACCTTCGTGTTCCTCTATAATTTTACACAGAACTAGAGGAAGCCTCTTTGTTAAGTTCATATTGTAGATCATAATACAGAACTTTGCACAGTTAAAACTAATCAAGTCTAGCAGTTTTCAAGGATTTGTCAATCTGGACGTTTAAAAGATAAAAGACATGATCGTATAAACCGAGATATTTAGTTTCGGTTATGATTCATTCAAATGTGCTCTGATTTCGGAGTTGCAGAGCCTTCGTGTCATCTCACTCCACAATAATTCACGTTTGAGAGTTGAGTCTGTGTGTTGTAACTTTGTGATGACTGATTGGATGCAGTATACATACTCGGGCTTGTTTTGTTAAACAATTAGCCTATGCAATTTATATGTTTGAAAACTGACCCCAAGCCAGCCCAAATTTTGTCCACCCGCCCAAGCCAATTTTTACCCTCACAATCAAATTAAAAACCGCCCAAACCCGCCCAATCTGGCATATATTTAAAAACATATCTAAAAAAAACTGTTTAATGTCTACTTCAGACTATGCTTTTTATTTTTAACAAATAGTCACCAGCTCTATAGGCTTGGTTAAAGACCCAACATGTCTGATTGTGTAACCCAATTTTGTAGTCTTTATCATATAGGCAGCAAAAAGCTGTATATTATTTGAATTTTTCTAATTCTGTCTGTCTGTTCCTGGGAGTGGGTATTCATTCATTCATTCATTGAGACATCAGAACATCTTTGCATTAGAAGGTTAACACTTGTTCAACACTTGTCATAATTACAATGATGAAAATGTCCTTGATAAGCACAACAGTTGTGAGACAAACTATTTGCACTCTCCTTAAAATACCCATAGTGAATCATACATAAAAAGATTTTCTGAACGAAGTCTGTTATGGTCACCAAGGCTACATTTATTTGATCAGAAATACAGCAAAACAGTAATGAGATATGACTACAATTTATTTAAAATAACTGTTTTCTATTTTAATATATTTTAAAATGTCATTTCTGTAATAGCAAAACTGAATTTTCAGCAGCTATTACTCCAGTCTTCAGTGTAACATGATCCTTCAGAAATCATTCCATGCATTTATAAGTAAGTAAATAAATAAATAAAACTGGTGCTGCTTAACAATGTGTGGAAACCATGATACATTATTTTTGATGACTACTAAAAACTGTGTGCACTGTAACTGTACAATAAATAAACACATGAGTGAGTGCAATATAATATATGATTAAGAGGGTGAAATCAAAGGAGAAAATACTCACAACTGCAACAAAATCAATTGCTTTTATTCAGTATTCGGTACATTTCATGTAACATTTGTTACAAATGGTGACAATTTGTCAGTTTAAAGCTAAGCATTATAGTTTACAATAAGCCTGTAATATTCTAAATAAAAAATGAAATTTATTGCAGAGAAGAGAAGATCTCTTGAAAGTATCTGTGAAAAGAAACAAACTCAATCAGCTTCTCCGCATGAGTATTAATAATTGTACATTAATCATAAAATAAATTTTTTACTGTATCAACACATGTATAAAACACACCTACTGTAAGCTATTCAAACTCATGCGTCACTCAGATTTACCCAACAGGATTTCCAGGCACAGCAGGGTTGATCTGAACTGGCATCTGTAGTATGCAAATGATAAATTATATTATAATGCAGGCTACCACTCAATAGATTTTTAGAAAGATACAAATAATTTTTTTTAAACCTGGGTGATTGAGACAGGTCTTGCTGTGGTCCTTCTGAGGAAGGAGCGCTGAGAAGAATAATTTAACACAGTTAGGTGGATGGCAGGAATTCTGCCTTTTGAATATTGTATAAACACTGAATATTGCTAAACAATGAAGTTACAGAACTTGTTTTACTAAGAACATCAGTTATAGTTAGGTATTCGTAGTTTTAGGCAACACACTACAAATAAATAGGATAAAGTTAAAAGTATTTACAGAAACGATTTTGGATCAGTGGCCAAAAATTGGCCTTAAAAAACAATGGTTTTGCCTGTAATTGCTATAATATATGATTAAGAGGGTGAAATCAAAGGAGAAAATACTCACAACTGCAACAAAATCAATTGCTTTTATTCAGTATTCGGTACATTTCATGTAACATTTGTTACAAATGGTGACAATTTGTCAGTTTAAAGCTAAGCATTATAGTTTACAATAAGCCTGTAATATTGTAAATAAAAAATGAAATTTATTGCTGAGAAGAGAAGATCTCTTGAAAGTATCTGTGAAAAGAAACAAACTCAATCAGCTTCTCCGCATGAGTATTAATAATTGTACATTAATCATAAAATACATTTTTTACTGTATCAACACATGTATAAAACACACCTACTGTAAGCTATTCAAACTCATGCGTCACTCATATTTACCCAACAGGATTTCCAGGCACAGCAGGGTTGATCTGAACTGGCATCTGTAGTATGCAAATGATAAATTATATCATAATGCAGGCTACCACTCAATAGATTTTTAGAAAGATACAAATAATTTTTTTTAAACCTGGGTGATTGAGACAGGTCTTGCTGTGGTCCTTCTGAGGAAGGAGCGCTGAGAAGAATAATTTAACACAGTTAGGTGGATGGCAGGAATTCTCCCTTTTGAATATTGTATAAACACTGAATATTGCTAAACAATGAAGTTACAGAACTTGTTTTACTAAGAACATCAGTTATAGTTAGGTATTAGTAGTTTTAGGCAACACACTACAAATAAATAGGATAAAGTTAAAAGTATTTACAGAAACGATTTTGGATCAGTGGCCAAAAATTGGCCTTAAAAAACAATGGTTTTGCCTGTAATTGTTTTATAATTTGTACCTTAAATCTAGTCAGTGAGCCTGGTGGTACAGCTTGGTTATTTCCAGTAGTGCCTTGTCCAACCTAAAAGCATTAGTAATGAGCTTCATGAACATATTTATAGCCCATACATTTAATTTATAGAGCTGGAATAGTACTAGCAACTAGAAGGGTTGTTTTGTACCGCAACTTGTTGCTGCAGAGGGATCATGGCTGGTTGATTCTGGGGTCCACCAATGTAATACGCCAGTCCCTGTTGATCAGAACAGTCCAAAACAGCTTCCCAAATTACATTAATTGAGACAGAAATAAATGTATATTATTACACAGTCATTGTGAATGAAAATGAGCAAATACCCCATTAGGTGACGCGAAAGGGTAAGCCAACTGAGGTCCGATGTTGGGGGGACCGAAGGGAACTGGTGGCTGCTGAAGCACATATGGAGGAAGAGCAGCAGCGGGCAGAATCTGTCAGACACAAAAGAGTTAGCATTTGTCTGTATAGGACATTACCTGTTAGTGGGATATACAAAGTTCTTAAAGGAATAGTTCACCCAAAAATGAAAATTTGCTCACCCTCAGGCCTTCCGAGATTTACTGTAGATTAATGTTTCACTTTATCAGAACAGATTTGGAGAAATGTATCACTTGCTCACTAATGGATCCTCTGTAGTGAATGGGTGCCGTCAGAATAAGAGATAAAACAGCTGATAAAGACATTTTGCTCACCCTCAGGCCTTCCGAGATTTACTGTAGATTAATGTTTCACTTTATCAGAACAGATTTGGAGAAATGTATCACTTGCTCACTAATGGATCCTCTGTAGTGAATGGGTGCCGTCAGAATAAGAGCTAAAACAGCTGATAAAGACATCACAATAATCCACAAGTAATCCACATGGCTCCAGTCCATCAATTAATGTCTTGTGAAGTGAAAAGCTGTGTGTTTGTAATAAACAAATCCATCAAGATGTTTTCAACTTCAAGCCGTAGCTGAGTAAATGAGACCACAACAGGCAATGGATATTTTCACTGGAGGAATTATTATGGATCATTATGGACTCATATTTTGACCAGAAGTGACGGTTTAAAAAAGCCATAACAGATTTGTTTCTTATAAATAAGTATAGTTTTTCTCTTTACAAGGCATTAGATGTACTGGAGTCGTATGGATTACTTGTGGATTATTGTGATGTTTTTATCAGCTGTTTGGACCCTCATTCTGACGGCACCCATTCACTGCAGAAGATCCTTTGGTGAGCAAGTGATGTAATGCTACATTTCTCCAAATCAGGTCTGATAAAGAAACAAACTCATTCACAAATTGAGCAAATTTTCATTTTTGGGTGAATTTGGGTGAATTGCTCTTTTAATTGGTAAATCTTCAGTTCCTACCTGTGCTAATGGAGGCTGTCCAATAACAACAGGACCACCAGAAAGCACAGGTGGGTTCAGACCACCCACCAGTAGAGGGTTAACTCCATTTACACCAGTAACCAGACCTCCATTCAGACCGTTGATCAGATGAAGCTTCTAAAAGGAAGTACAGCTTAAAGTGGCAATGTTAAACTTAACACACATAATTCTGATTATATGAATGAGCTTACCTTAGATGAGGTGATCTAGAAGAGAAGGAAGGATCAAAGTGATCAAAGCATGTGTGGAAGAACTGATAAATCACGAGTGACCAAAAGAATATAAAGTAATATGATAGATGAAATCAGTGTACTCACATCAGCAATTACGGTCAGAACCATAAAGATTATAACAAATTTCTTCATCTTGCAATCTGAAAAATAGCATATTTTAAATTACAAAGTATAAAATTGATACTAATACAATCATGTTACATAAATATAAACTAATTTCTTAGTGGCAAACATGTTTCTGGCACCCACCTGTTTCTCGCTCCAGTAGTGATTTGCTCTGCCATGTACAGGACAGTATATATCTCCAAAGCTTTTTATTGAGCTGAATGATCTAGTTCAGCCAATTGGAGTTCAACACTAATCCAGCTGTGTTTATCAGCAGGGTATTTAGAAGCATTAGTTACATTATGGTTTTGTTATGCAGATATTTTCAAGTTTACCACAAGTACATCTTTTGGCAGAATTTGTGGTCATTTGAGTTTTTAGAGATTCTGGAGCTCTCAGTGTGACTAAACATACATAGATGTGCACATAATATAAGTCACATGACATCGTGTTCACTGTAGCCTGCACAGACATACAAAAACATGTGGTCTGACTGAGCATTTGCTCATGACCTATACGAAAACATGGTTTGTGTTATAATCTCCTGGTCTGAATTTCTTAGGTCTTAGATCATTTGCATTGTCATGTAGTCATGTAGTCAACAAATGTCAGCCCTATAGGCCATCATGCTAAAAGCATGTCTTAACCGAAAAACTGTAATGTTGTCTTGATTGTGATGTCTGGACTGTTTCAAACTATTTCTAAATATTGGCAGAACCAATATTGATGTGATCATCAAAGTGTAGTGAAAAAAGCACAGAGTAATGTTTAATAAGAATTGTGTCAGTAAAATAAGGGCTTCCTAGATTTGAGATAATTTGCATTATCAAAATGTCAGCCCTGTAAGACATGATGCCACAAAAGCAGTCTTAACTGAAAAACGGACTGATGACTGGACTGTTTCAAACTATTTCTATTTAAAAATACACTGATACATCATAAAATATTTTATTCAACTTAAACAATTAAATCGCAAAAAAGGCATGGCAATCACAAGCTTATGAGCAGCAGAAAAAAGTGCAATATATCATAGTGCATCAAGAGAAAGTGCAAAGAAATGCTTAATAAGAAGCATCACAGTAAAAGAGGTGGGCTTCTTAGATCATATGTATATGTATATGTATATATATAATCACATACATACATATATATATATATATATATATATATATATATGAGTAAACCTTCCCCATAAAAAAAAAAGTTTAAAAAAAAAGTTAATGAACAGTACCTTTGAAAAATTTGTTTAAAATCTACACTAAAATGAATCAGTCATATTAGTGTTAGTGAAAAACAACTTATTAAATTTTGGCAAAATTTTGTGGCAAAAATAGAAGAACTATACAGTAGATGCAGTCTTGTTAGTAACTATAGTTCTTCTTGATGCAGAAATATAACTCCTTTTTCTTGTATATAATATATATATATACTGTATGTATATATAATTCCTCTCCTTTCCCATAAAGTTTACTGGCACAGTAATGCAGTAATTTAAAGAATACCTCAAAAATGTAATGCCATATTTCTCATAGCATATAATACAGCAGAAGAAAAACACTTGAGCAGTTTTTCAGTTCTCTTAAAGTATTCCTATATTGTTTCTTCAAATGCAATTCCAGTAGTTATATACTCTTCAGTGTTGTCTTGCTTCTCAGTGGTCCTCACAGTCTCAGGCATGGTCTCCTCTACAGGTGTGCGAGGACAAACGTCAGGCTCTGGGCTGGTTTCTTGTTGTGACAATCCAATGCATGCAGGCTCTCTCAATGGTTCTGGGTTTATATCCACATTAGACAGTACTGCATTATAACTGCAGCGATACTGCTGTGCTTGTGACTGTCCATGACACTGACACCAAATGATCAGGCAAATGCAAATGACAGTGAAACCAATTAGTACGGACACAGTTATGAAGTGATGTATCTGGGTCACACCTGTGGACGACAGTGTAATTTAGTTCTACATGTAAAATCATGCCAATTGTTACACTGATTTAAAAAAATAATAACTTTAATTAGTTTGATTTAAATCTTACTCTCCACAGTAACAGTGTTGACACCAATGACTTCACCCATCTTGTCTCTCACAGTAAATGTGCCTGTATCAGAGGATGTTGCAGCATGCACCACGAGGAAGCCGTTTAGGACAGATACTCTGTGACTGTAGTCAGATGAACATATAGGGTTGTTTCCTGTCACACTGCAAACCAGGGTCTCAGCCGCATCATGACTGGTGAAGGTTACCTTCACACGGTCAGAGTCGAACAAGTCCAGGGTGAGATTATCACCAAACTTTTTTGCATAGAACTTTTGATCAGCTGGGGGGGGGGGGTCACAATTTCAGTTAAACTTTTTTTTCTTCTACAGGACAAAAAATATAAATATAAAAAATATATAATTTTCAACAACCTGTAACGTTGAAAGTGACAGCAGCAGGATAACCATGCTCCTCTGTATCCCTGTGATAGCACCGATACAATCCCTTATCTGATGTGGTGACTCTGAGTATGTTAAGGGAAAGATCTCCGTCCTTATAATGGTGTAGTGAAACTGATGCCCTGCCTTTAAAACCTGATCCATATGTCGTAATTCCTTTTTGAACTTGTAACACCGTTTGGTCATCTTTTTTCCAAAGGATGTTCACAGTGTCATCAGCGATCTGTTTCTCTGTGCGTGCGTAGCAGGGTAGTGTGACATTGCTTTTGACTGAGGCGCTCACAGTAGTAGGCACTAAACAATGAACGAACACAATACAAAGCAATAGATCACATCTAACAGTGGTAAGCAAGCACCCTAAGTAGGGTGATAAATATTACCATTAAACAATTGTATGTCATGTTTAACTAAAAAACAAGAACTTACCAAGAGCTTCTAAGTGGACTCTACAGAGAAACACTGAATTGCACATGAGCAAGTACCAGCCTTCATCATTGTAAAGAACAGGATACAAGGTTAGAGACAGGGTTCCAGGCTTGAGGCTCACTCTGTTCTTAAAGTTGTCTCCTTCTGTGCAAGTATTTTGGACACATTTTAAAACGTCCAGATTTTCATTGTTCGTGTTGAATGTCCATAAGACATGTCCATTACATGTCTCATTACAAGTGAACATCGCAGTATCCATAATGTTTACTTCAACAGGCATTCCACCTAGAAACGGTCCTAGCAGGAAAGATTTTAAAAAAGGATTTTAGAAGAACATGTTTGATTGTAAAACAAATTACCATACTAACAAATTAGTATGAATAAGAATTAAATGCTCTAGTTTAGATCCTTGTTTTTAAAAAGATACTGGCCCCTTAAATACCTTCAGCATAGTTGACTAATTTTTATAATTAACTTGTACTGTCATATCTACCTTTCTCAAAGTGCTTTTTATGAAGAAAAGTGAATAAAAAACATCATAATATATAAATTCACAAAAAAAATCTATATGTTACCAAAAGTCAGGAGCAAATAAAGGAAGCTCTTTGATGGGTGAGGTAGCTTCATGGCTGTCTGGTGGCCTCTGGAACTGGAGGATTTAAGAATAAGAGGATATGAAATGTAGACAAAAGATTGTGATGTCTTGTAATGTCAATACTATTTTGTCTCTTCCACATTTTCAATATTTTTCTGATGTTTTCGGGAGTACAGCATTCAAAAAGAGGAAGATCATTTTGGGTAAAACAATGCAAATGCAAGGAATTAATTTACATTAATTTAATAATGAAGAATTTATTGTTATAAATAATAACTCATTAATAAATAATTCATACACTTGCAAATGCATTTGCATAGTAATTGTGCACCGTATTATTATTATCAGTAAGTAAGTGGTTGTAATAAACTGCTTTTATTATATTTAAAACTATAAAGCTGCGCACACAGTTTCTAGGATATTTGTATTAAATTGTTTAAAGGTAGGGTAGGCAGTTTCTGAGTCATCTAGCCAGCGGAACTACAAAAATATAACAACCTAATGCAATGATTGGACGAAATGATTTTATAGTTCTAATCCTTACACAGAAGATTTTAACAACTTTCGACCAGTTTAAAAAAAAAATTATCTAGAAGAAATTGCCTACACTAACTTTGAGCTGTTATAATTAATTCATACATTTATATAGCACTTTTCTAGGCACTCAAAGCACTTTAAATTGTCAGGGGGTATCTCCTCATCCACCACCAGTGTGCAACATCCACCTGGATGATGCAACGGCAGCCATAGTGTGCCAGAACGCCAGAGAGGAGACAGAGTGATGAAGCCAATCAGCAGATATGGGGATTGTTAGGAGGCCATGATGGTCAGAGGCCAATGGGCAAATTTGGCCAGGATGCCGAGGTCACACCTCTACTCTTTTCGAAGGACATCCTGGGATTTTTAATGACCACAGAGAGTCAGGACCTCGGTTTAACATCTAACCCGAAGGACGGTGCTAGTTGACAGTATAGTGTCCCCATCACTACACTGGGGTGTTAGGACCCACACAGACCACAGGGTGAGCACCCCCTGCTGGCCTCACTAACACCTCTTCCAGCAGCAACCTAGTTTTCCCAGGAGGTCTCCTATCCAGGTACTGACCAGGCTCAACCCTGCTTAGCTTCAGTAGGCAACCAGTCTTGGGTTGCAGGGTGATATGGCTGCCGGCTTAAAGCCAGCGGAACTACAAAAATAAAACAACCTAATGCAATGATTGGACGAAATGATTTTACACAGAAGATTTAAACAACTTTCAACCAGTATAAAAAAGATGTATCTAGAAGAAATTGCCTACACTAACTTTGAGCTGTTATCAATATAAGATACTGATGATGATGAACTGAAAAACGGAGACAGAAAGACTAAGATGCTACACCACTTTAAATCTCAACATGCTCACGTGTTCATAGACAACAGATGTGAGAAGACAGAAAGCCTGGCCTTTAATGCATCAAGATGAAGGTCACAATAATACACTTTTACAACTTCAAATGTTGTGCAGCGTATGCTCGACTGCCAAAAACGGGCATACTAAATGTAACATAATAACACAATCCCTGACTATAAATATAGCCTTTACTTAAAAAAAATAAAAATACCTTTGCTCACCTGTCCCGTTACAGGCTCTTTCTCCGTTGAGCTTTAGGAATTTTCTAATTCTAAATCCCGCTATTCTTTAAAGTTCTATCGACACAACATTTAAACACACAGACGAGTCAAAATAGGTGCGAAACCATTTAAAGCATCCGAACAACTTTAAAACAGTTCTCTGGATGTCATGAGACGAGACACGGAAGAAGAGTGAAGAACAAGTTTCTGAACACTGTCGTTGCAAAAATACAAAATCCTGTCACGAGTAACTTTTACTAAAGTCTAAGGTAGGATTTTGTTTGTGTCGAGACGACAAACTAAAAAAAAAGTAGACTAGGTACAAAAAAAAGAAATCCACTTGACTAGCTTAATCCAGTCGAGCAGTGCTAGGTGATGTTTACACGCATGCGCTGGAGTAGGTTTCGAATACGCATGTGCGCCTGCACTGTGCAATGACCTAGGCCTATATAGCCTATCTGCCCGCCTATAATACAACATAAAAACGTTAATGTTTCAATTCATCTTCAAGTAGCCATATGGTTTTCTCCCTACTGGCAATTTAAAGAATTGATGCTATTTTGAAATGCTGAATATGTGTATCGTATTTTATTCCCACACTGCCCACATAAGTGCTGTACAGGGATTGTTATTAGGCTATGTGAAATAAACCTACACCAAGCACTGGTTATTCATTATTAACCAAGCACATTATTATTATTTAGTTTGGGTTAAACAAATCAATTTTGCTTGGTTGGAACAGCAGCTACGCTAATTATGTCTCTAGTTGTTTCTCTGTTTTTTAGGATTTACACAAGCTTCAGTCTGGATCCAGAACACCTGAGAAGAGATGACGCCAACCCCTCAGAGGACCTCAGATGATGCCAACCCTGAAACAACATACAGAACTACCAAATTTAGCTGAAAGTTTAATTGCATCATAAAATAATTGCTGTTAATAGTGTTCATCGTCTGTTTTATTACATCTTAAATGGATTTTTCCGTACATTTCTGCCATTTGTACATAAATTGACAGTCACCAAGCTACCACTAAATATTGTAGAAACTGAATTTGCTGTAAGGTTGCTTTGCAATGATTTGTATCGTGAAAAGCGCTGTACAAATAAACTTGACTTGACTTGACTGTCGCACATGACTGATATGAAGAAGTCGTGCTATAAATATCAGGGTTAAATGTCTTTGTCTCTTTTTATCCGGGTTAGGATTAGTAGTTGAGCCTACAAAAACACTCAACTATATAAGAGGACTAGTCCACCATAAAGTGAACTATATATATATATATATATAAACGTTTTTTTTGTTTTTTCAAAATTATTGTATGCCAGTTGGTTTTATGGAACTATGAAACAATAAAGAAATGAGAGTAACAGTGGGAAAAAAATAAAGAACAATAATTTCTAGACCACATTTTTCATGAAGGACAAACAATATTGTTTTATTTCCAAAACAAATAAAAAAATAAACATACATGAACATTTAATCAATTATTTAACCATTAAAATGCTAGACTTGCCTATAGATTTGTATAGATTTATAAATATCCTGTATTTCTTAATATTATACATATATATCCATCCTCGTTCCCTTTTTTTCCTTTCCAAAGAAAGGCCAAAAACAGCCCGTTATAGCTGTCAAATTTGGAGTTTCATATATTTATTTGAACAACAACAATCATGCTTTTTATATATTTGCATGCTGTATTCCCTTTTACTCTTCATTGCTGGAGGTTTTGTTTTTTTCCTGGTCTTCATATGCACCACTAAAACAGATACTAACATTCCCAGAAAGCCAAAACACAGCACTGCTATGAATACTTGGTAATGAAGGGAAAGACCATCGGATTCGGGACCTGTTTTTTTAGGAAAGTTCAGTCAGACAGATTGTTTTTCTATTTTTATTTACACTGTACGAAAAACAGATATTTTATATATGTAAAATATTGTTTATTGTGTTTTTTTATCGTATTAGAGCATTTTTTCATGCTTACCTTGAACTTGATCAAAGGGCTTGTATTTACTTTGTTGGTTTGCTGAAAAGACTACAAAAAAAGATGAGCAGAAGAATCACACTTCTAATAATAACGCCCAAATAAACTCAGCAAAAAAATTAAAATCCCCCTTTCGGGATATTGTATTTTAAATATAATTTTGTAATCCAAATATAATTTGAATTTCAATATAATTTTGTAATCCAATCCGAATAAAGCTTTACAAATCTATATCGGAAGGGGTTTAAACAATATTACTTTTTAACTATTTCGGTGTGAAATAGTCCTCAAGACGGCAGGAAATTAAGGTCACAGTTAAACTATAACTAGATAAAAATGTTCAAGACCAACTTTGATGTTGGCTTGAAAAAGCCTGACCAGACAGTTCTGAAGTAGTCTTAAAAATTTTGGTTCAAAGGTTTTCAGTTTAAAGCAGTTTTAAAGGTCATATTAGAAAAACAGAATTATATTCTGTATGGATGCTAGGATGTTGCTATGCAGTTGCTAGATTACTTGGGTGGTTGCTAGGGTGTTTCTGTGTGGCTGATAAGAATATTTTGCCATGTGGTAACTGGCAAATCTGCTGCAGTTCATGAGGATGAGATGCAATGTAGCGCATAAAGCGGCTGGGGTACCCGAGATACTCACTGCTACTTTTCATACTGACCCCCCTTTCTTCAGGAATTCATTATTCCATTTCTGTGTCAAATGCCTGCGAAAGTTGAATTTATGTCTCAGCTGTTAAGTTCTTTTGTTAAAAATAAATATTTACACATGAAGAAATTTGCCGGAAATAAAAGCTGTTCAAAGTAAGAAGACGTTTCTTTTAATTATTTTTTTAATGAATTTATTTCTTGAGAAATGAAATGCTCACACTTACTGTATAGTTGCACTCCTTTGTCAAAATTCAAGTGTTTTTGATAGGATGTTGCACAATAGTATGTGGCGAGATCACTGGTTGAGACGTGGAGCATTCTCAGTCCAGTCGTCTGCTTCTCCATCAAGCCCTCAAAATGAGTTTCATTATAATTCCAGACAACAGACAGTTCTCCAGTGTGTTTCAGTCTTGTGACCACCAGAGCCATCAGCCGCCCCTCACTCATCTTCAGCCAGTGGATCTCAGAGTAGAAAGACAGGTTGCACATCAGTGCCACTGTCTCTCCAAGTTTAACTTCTTTCAACTCTACTGCTTCCAAATGCTTCAGGGGCGAAACGAGGAGAGCTGACAGAAAGCAAGCAAAGGGATTTTATCCTGCTTGTTGTTTAGAACACAAAATATATTTTTGTAACAGATACTTTAAAGTAATTATTTGGTGCCATGATTGCACTTATTTCAGCTTTTAAAGTTAGTTTAATAATGACTTTACCTGTTAGAGCGATTAAACATAACACCATTGTGAATGTGTAGTCATAGTCCAGTGTTTGCTTGATTTCTGAAGAACTTCTAGATTTCCGAAGAACTTCTAGATTTCCAGTCAAATGAAGGAAAACCCCGCTTTTTGCTCACTCCCAGTTTGCGTGGATTTTTAAAGTTTCCATCTGTGCTGTTATTGGTATAGCCTATGAAATACATTTAAAGTAATTCCCCAAACCAAAGTCTGTTCTAAGATCAGTCGTGACAATGCTCTCTTTTGCACCAGTTGTTTGGCCAAAGGAAGTAGGTTAGCTCATACACATATAAGAGCTTTAGGTGTGAAGGCCACAAACTACATGCATCTTTGTTTTGAAAATAGGTACAGTGTCTTGATAAAGACTTTGGACAACATTGGAAAACATTTTTAAATAATATTAAATAAAATTTCCCCTTCACATTGGCCAGAGAAAAAGATTTAAGTTCAAGATTTTCTTTTGACATTTCAGCATTGGTTCAGCATAACTTCAGTTTAAAACCATATGGCTTCAAACTGGTATTTGTTATGAACAGTTACAAGAAACCTAAACATTTCAAAAATATGCAATGATCATAACCACAACACTGGCAAGATTTTCATGCTGTTGAAAAGTTGTCATGACTCATGATACATATGAAGTCTTGCCAGTTTGAAACTGTTTATTTGAGTTTGTGGGGTTTTCCAGTACATTTACCACTTTCTTTTTTACCAGCCTGCTTAAACTGTGTTATAGCATGTTAGTTAACACTTCCACAAATTTCCTACAATATGCCTTGAACATAACTATTCTTTGGTATAATAACATACAACAATAACAGAGTTAAAACAGGAAGAGGCAATGAACATTAATGGTGTTTTAGTAATATACTGTTACTTGTAGTGTAAGTCATTAACCCACAAATAGTTTAGCCAATTAATAGCATATATCATTGCTGCATTAAAAAATAGTGATAAATCCATCAACATATGTTTCACTAACAACATGTAAACATGTAACTCAACCCTTAACCAAAGATTGCAGTGAGGTAAATACAAAAGCAGCCATTCAAATACTAAATATCTAAAACAATACACTAAATGAGTTGCAGATCACAATAAGACAAGCTATAATAAGAAAAAGACCCATCTCAGGCATTTAAAACGATGTATTAAAAAGTAACACCACCTTTTTACTTTAATGCATCTATCTATAGGGTAGCTGTAATAAACCAGAAACAACCAACCAAAGTATATTACAAGAAAAATGGCATGGCAAAAAAAAAAAAAACTCTTAAATTAACTGCATTGCAAAGCATACATTCTTATAGCGTAAATAGAAAACTTCATAAAAGCATAATCAACATATCATTTTTGATCCTTCTAGTTTTTCTTCGACTCTTCGTTCTTGTCATCCAAATAGCCTGGAAAGCTTTCTGCTGGTTCCCATGTGTTCTGAAACTTTGCCCCACTGAGAAAAGTAAAATATAAATATGAAATTAAACATCAGGGATGTTTTTCACTACTATGCTGTAATAAACTTCAAGATCTTCAATGACCTCGTTATTTTTTTCTCACATTAAGTATCAACCCATATGGACTTTTTGATGGCCAATGCAGATATCTCAAAGAAAAAGGTATCTTAAGCCCTATTCGGACAGGGCTAGTTTTCTAAACTACGTTTCTTATCACCTGACGTCTGCGATTGTCATGTACCAATTTGGACGGGACTAACATCTCTGTGTTTATTACAGAGGTGTGAGGGTCAGATCACGCGTTCTGTATGCGTGCATTGCCTATAGTTATTCGGATTAATTACCATAGTATAACCACAGTTTACTACAAATACCATGGTGAAGCTATATGGCTAGTATAGCAAAACCATGGTTAATGTGTGGTTACATTAGATTAACTACTTTATTTTTTTTATTTATTTGTAGAAAACCATGTTTAATTTTCATAAAAGTACATATGCAATTAAAACATTATGTAATTGAGTGCAGAAATTAACGCGAGT